ACTCAAATATCAATTATAGCACAACACAGTATCATACGGAAGCCTTTTGGGGCCATTTGTTTTTGGTGGTTTTTTTCTTGAAATTTCAAGATGTTATTCTGAAATTTCAAGATACTAAGTTGAAATTTCAAGATGCTAATTAAGTTGAAATTCTAAGATGCAATGTTGAAATTTCAAGATGCTAATTAAGTTGAAATTTCAAGATACTAAATTGAAATTTCAAGATACTAAGCTGAAAATCCAAGACGCTATCTTGAAATTTCAAGATACTAAGTTGACATTTTCAGATGCTATGTTGAAATCTCAAGTTGTTAATTAAGTTGAAATTTCAAGATACTAAATTGAAATTTCAAGATACTAAGTTGAAAATTTAAGATGTTATCTTGAAATTTCAAGATACTAAGTTGAAATTTTTAAGATGCTATGTTGATTATTCTTCTTGGTTTGTGGGTTTGACTAAAGTGGTAAACACCTGCATCACTTGGGGCTTTTCTCCCACTTCAAGCTGACACTCCGTGATATAACTACGGTTCAAAGCGGCGTTTAACTCAACTCACTCACTCACTCAAATATCAATTATAGCACAACACAGTATGATACGGAAGCCTTTTGGGGCCATTTGTTTTTTGTGTTTTTTCTTGAAATTTCAAGATACTAAGTTGAAATTTCAAGATACTAATTAAGTTGAAATTTTAAGATGCAATGTTGAAATTTCAAGATGCTAATTAAGTTGAAATTTCAAGATACTAAGTTGAAATTTCAAGATGTTAATTAAGTTGAAATTTCAAGATACTAAATTTCAATTTCAAGATACTAAGTTGAAAATTCAAGATGCTATGTTGAAATTTCAAGGTTCAATAGTTGAAATTTTAAGATGCTAATTAAGTTGAAATTTCAAGATACAAAATTGAAATTTCAAGATTCTAAATTGAAAATTCAAGATGCTATGTTGACATTTCAAGATACTAAGTTGAAATTTTAAGATGCTATGTTGAAAATTCAAGATGTTAATTAAGTTGAAATTTAAAGATAAAAAATTGAAATTTCTAGATGCTATGTTGAAATTTCAAGGTTCATTAGTTGAACTTTTAAGGTTCATTAGTTGAAATTTTAAGCCTAACCACAACATCCCATTAAGTAAATATGTGAAACGTTTAAACATGTTTACGACAAAATACATAATTTATATTATATATGTAGTGTATTATCCTAATAATCCAAACAATGTTTAAATATAGTGCATGTCATGCGTTAAGTCAGGCATGTATAAGATATATAATGTATATTGAAATAGATGTGCAAACAAGATTCACAGGAACTTCCACCAAACATATACTACCAGGACTTACAACGACCTTTGTACTATACAGTTAACTACGTTTATAACAAACACGTTTATAACGAACTGGCGGATATAGCGAACTGTTTTTTTGTTCCCAGCCATTTGCTGTATATATGCTGTAAATATGTTAATAACGAATTACGGTTATAACGAACTAAAATTAGTGGTCCCTTTGAGTTCGTTAAAACCGTAGTTTACTGTATTAACATAATAATGGACACATTAACTTAGCTAAGATAATGCTGACTAGAAAAACTGACATTTGTGATGTCAAAAATCCCCGTGGCACAGATGGTAGCGTGGAGGACTACAATTCAAGAGGTTCGAATCCGAGGTTTTAAAGTGTTCCTGAATGTGTTGGATGACTAAGTATGGGCATGAGTGAGTGAGTGAGTGAGTGAGTATGGTTTTACGCCGCTTTTAGCAATATTCCAGCAATATCACGGCGGGGGACACCAGAAATGAGCTTCACACATTGTACCCATGTCGGGAATCGAACCCGGGTCTTCGGCGTGATGAGCGAACGCTTTAACCACTAGGCTACCCGACCGCCCTAGTATGGGCTTGACCACGGGGACCCAGTGTCTAATCGTTTAAATGGTTAGTTAATGTTTAATTAACCATTTCAACGATTAGACACTGGGTCCGAGTGGTCTAACATACTTAAACCATGTCCAACATTTATGGCATCTAAAATGCTTAAAAAAACATTGTTTTGTTAAAGATACTTTGAAAGGTATTCTGGAACTCTATGCTCAACTGTGAGAACACTGTGTGAGTCGGCCTTGCGTGAAGCACGTGAATTGTGTTTCCCCAGCCTTTCGCACGTGCAGCCCGCCCTTTGCCGATTTGGGTTATGAAAGGCATGTCCCGGGGCAAGTTTAACACACATTTTGGACCAACTCGAGAACATTTATCAATGACCTGAATATTACTTGCCCATGTTAATGGGCATATTATAAACAAATGTTGCCCTGATCAAGATAATAGTAATTTCTTTTCTGTCTGTTCGTTTCGTTGAACGAAAAGCTACAAAATCACAAGTACTGTACAAATACTAGAATGCATAGAGTTACATACTGTATAAAATTGCATAAAACACATTTCACTGTTCATAAACGGATAAACAATTAGTACTGATTTAAGTAAATATTTAGTTGTTAATTTCATACCTTTTCTCCCATGTCGCTGTTGAGAAACGTTTTTTTATGAAATTATTCTATCATTAAGATAAATAATAGGGGACAAAAAAGTGCCATCATTACCATGTGGTGTTTAACTAACAATTCAGGGAGTTACACCACGGTCAAAGACAAAGGAGTCATGGTTTAATAGTAGTTTTCTCCTACATGAAATGGAAGATGACAATTATATCTGATTACTACGATAGACCCTTAATTGCTTTTAAGGTACCCCAATATACTTCTATATCCCCATAAAAAGCTACAAACATACTCAAAGCGACTCCTTTTTTAAATTACATGAAATAAATTTCAAAAGGGGCGGGGAGGGTACGGATATTTCAAACATTTATGCCCTTAACACCCGCGATAGAATTATGGAACAAGGAGGTGAGGTGAGGTGAAATGGGGTTTAACGTCGCGTCCAAGATTATTGCACTTATATATAGCGACATGCATGTACGTGTGTGTGTGTGGCTGCTTGTACTAGTCCGGATTGATGCCGATTTATAGTGCTAGCTCGCTGAGATACCATGCCGCAGTTTAACATGAATACCCCACTCAGACACAGTATACTGACTCCGAGCCGACCAGTCCTTGTTTTAGCCCCTTAATACCGAGCGCCAGACAGGGTAACAACAAGTACCATCTTTTACCGTCTTTTGGTATGACGCGGCCGGGGATCGAACCCCGGACCTTCCGCTCTCCGGGCGGACGCTCTACCACTAGACAACGGAGGCGGTTATGGAACAAGGAACTCGTTTAGCCTTGTGTTTAGGATCTAGTCCGGAATAATGCCGATTTAGTAGTGCTGGCCCACTGAGATACCAGGGCGCAGTTTAACATAGAATCGCGGCGCCTTAGACGACTTTATTAGTATTTTGGGCTATAACCTATAATACAAGTTTAGAAGAACAAACTTTAATGTCACTTATATCAGGATAGTGCAAACAAATTAATTCCGTTCCTGTTAACGAGGCTCCAGTTCCACATAACTTATAAATGAGTCGGTGGCGGTCGGGTAGCCCAGTGGTTAAAGCGTTCGCTCGTCACGCCGAAGACCCGGGTTCGATTCCGAACATGGGTACAATGTGTGAAGCCCATTTCTGGTGTCCTCCGCCGTGGTATTGCTGGAATATTGCTAAAAGCGGCTTGAATCATACTCACTCACTATTTCCGGAGCTCGAAACTATTTCTGATGCATATTGCGACAGTATGGTTCTTGATAATGACCAGGAACTGTTATACTCCTGCTTTCTGAAGCATTTTGATTCGAATGCTGAATTAATGATAGAAATTATGCAATACTCTTTCATACTTCCGTTTACTGGCAAATGAAACCAAAATGAAATATTCATTGGGGACCATCCGAAACTGAATATAACGAGGAAGGATATGAGAACCCGGACTCTTTTTGTTTATCAATCGTTAAATATATTACAGTAAACTACGGTTAAAACGAACACGCTTATAACGAACTGACGGATATAACGAACTTACTTTTTGGTCCCGACTATTTGCTGTAGATATGCTGTATATATGTTTATAACGAACTACGGTTAAAACGAACACGCTTATAACGAACTGACGGATATAACGAACTTACTTTTTGGTCCCGACTATTTGCTGTAGATTAGCTGTATATATGTTTATAACGAACTACGGTTATAACGAACTAAATTTGTAGTCCCTTTGACTTCGTTATAACCGTAGTTTACTGTAGTACACTTGCAGTCTAAAAGCCCGGCGGTAGACTTGAGACTAAGGGTTACACACAATCAAATGTTTTCCCATAGACTTCTATAGTAACGTTATATTTTTTTTTTAAATAATTAAGCATTCAACAGCTATTACCCTTACGTGTGTGCACAGTTTGGCCTTCGAGCAGCAATAAAAACATAAAAATGACTAGATTAGCCAGATGTTTTTCCGAGTACCGGAAGCTAAACTCACCGACCCCAGTTCCGCACTAAATGTCACCTACTTGAAAATACCTGTGGTCACATTCAGCATAAGTCATCATGTTGAAAAAGACAGTACTAAATATAGAAAGGCATGGTCAGTTTTAATAACTGGATGGATGTACATTTAAAAGACTTGAAAATCTTGCACAATATTATCCAAATACAGCCTGCAGATATCTCTCGATCTGCACTGAAGGCTCCCTACGACCTACGAAAACCGCACTGTCCCAACTGGTTCTGATTTGGTGTAATAGAACATCAAGGGGAGAGCGGAATGTCGGTAGTTCGATGGCACGTGAAACGCACACACACGCACATGCACGCACAAACGCACACACATATACACAAACACACACACATATACAGAAACACAAACACGCATGCACGCGCACATACACGAGCACGCACGGCGCTCTATAAATGCAAAAATACTGAACGACGTTAAACCACATTTCACCTCACAAACAAGAGTTCTTTTAACACTAGCATCCTCATCTTCATTCCTTGTTCCAGCCTCCTTTACAGTCAACGGTAATTCAAGCGTGACGGTTGAAGCAGGCGAAATGGTCGAGTTCCGATGTGACACAGAGCCGCTACAATTCAACTCGAAAAACATCAACATGACAAACAACACATACGAAGTGGCAGCCAACTGTTCTGACTTCGGAGAGTACACATGCGGTGGTGACTCAGTCACCGTCAAATGTGAGTATACGTAGTTGTCTGAGCGCCACAGAGTTACGTCCCTTAGAAGCGCAAGGATCCGCTGATCGGGTTCGGCACTTGGTCTGATCGCTTGTTTATCAGCGTAAACGCTTGGTTGGTAAGCGTTTGTGGGTTTCGTTACTGAAGGATTTTTCCAAAATTGGGCAATTTTAACGAGACAAGGGAGTAAACCGACCAGAAAATTAAAGTCCAATTTCCAATTAATGCCCTTGCCTCGGGAAGTTGATATTGGTCTGACACGCCGTCCTAAAACTGGAATACTAAAAAAAGTTGCTTGAAGTTAAGCTCACTACCTCAGAAGTAACCGAGCTAGCCACTCGGGTAGTTTCTGCCTTTTCTGCTACACAGGATCGAGAGCCGAGGTGCCCTGGTATAAGCATATCACGTTTAGCCCTCAATCTGAGTAAATGATTGAATATTGCTAAACGACGCATCATCAACTTTGAAGGTGTTTGCGGTCAGAACCCCATGGAGAGAAGATCTGAGAAGTCTGTTTGTTTCGTTAGCAAGTTAGCGATGTGTCAGTAATGAACATACTTGGATCCAATAAGGGATTCCAAACTGAACTGAAAATTTTCCCACTCACTCCACTCCGTGCCACCCTCTCCAATTCTTTCCCATTCTCAAAGCCTCCTATCACATCCCTCCTTTCCACCCTCAATCAGTCGCCTCTCTCTTTTTTTCCCCCAACATTTTCTACCTCACTCTACTCACTACACACTCTAACACTACACATCTCAAACCACCTCCTCCCATCTCTAACACAACCCACCTCCTCCCATCTCTAACACAACCCACCTCCTCCCATCTGTAACACTACCCACCACCTCCCATCTGTAACACTACCCACCTCCTCCCATCTCTAACACAACCCACCTCCTCCCATCTGTAACACTACCCACCACCTCCCATCTGTAACACTACCCACCTCCTCCCATCTCTAACACAACCCACCTCCTCCCATCTGTAACACTACCCACCTCCTCCCATCTGTAACACTATCCAACTCCTCCCATCTGTAACACTACCCTCCTCCTCCCATCTGTACCACTACCCACCTCCTCCCATTTCTAACACTACCCACCTCCTCCCATCTGTAACACTACCCACCTCCTCCCATCTGTAACACAACCCACCACCTCCCATCTGTAACACTACCCACCTCCTCCCATCTGTAACACTACCCACCTCCTCCCATCTGTACCACTACCCACCTCCTCCGAACTGTAACACTACCCACCTCCTCCCATCTGTAACACAACCCACCACCTCCCATCTGTAACACTACCCACCTCCTCCCATCTGTAACACTACCCACCACCTCCCATCTGTAACACTACCACCTCCTCCCATCTGTAACACTACCCTCCTCCTCCCATCTGTAACACTACCCACCTCCTCCCATCTGTAACACTACCCACCTCCTCCCATCTGTAACACTACCCACATCCTCCCATCTGTACCACTACCCACCTCCTCCCATCTCTAACACTACCCACCTCCTCCCATCTGTAACACTACCCACCTCCTCCCATCTGTAACACTACCACCTCCTCCCATCTGTAACACTACCACCTCCTCCCATCTGTAACACTACCCACCTCCTCCATCTGTAACACTACCCAACTCCTCCCATCTGTAACATTACCCACGTCCTCCCATCTGTAACACTACCCACCTCCTCCCATCTCTAACACTACCCACGTCCTCCCATCTGTAACACTACACACCTCCTCCCATCTGTAACACTACCACCCCATCCCATCTCTAACACTACCACCCCCTCCCATCTGTAACACTTCCCTCCTCCTCCAATGTCTACCACTACCCACCTCCTCCCATCTGTAACACTACCCACCTCCTCCCATCAGTAACACTACCCTCCTCCTCCCATCTGTAACACTACCCACCCCCTCCCATCTGTAACACTACCCACCTCCTCCCATCTGTAACACTACCCACCTCCTCCCATCTGTAGCACTACCCACCTCCTCCCATCTCTAACACTACCACCTCCTCCCATCTGTAACACTACCCACGTCCTCCCATCTGTACCACTACCCACCTCCTCCCATCTGTAACACTACCCACCTCCTCCCATCTCTAACACTACCACCTCCTCCCATCTGTAACACTACCCACCTCCTCCCATCTGTAACACTTCCCACCTCCTCCCATCTGTAACACTACCCTCCTCCTCCCATCTGTACCACTACCCACCTCCTCCAATCTGTACCACTACCCACCTCCTCCCATCTGTAACACTACCCACCTCCTCCCATCTCTAACACTACCACCTCCTCCCATCTGTAACACTACCCACCTCCTCCCATCTGTAACACTTCCCACCTCCTCCCATCTGTAACACTACCCATCTCCTCCCACCCGTAACACTACCAATCTCCTCTCATCTGTAACACTACCCTCCTCCTCCCATCTATGACACTACCCACCTCCTCCCATCTCTAACACTACCCACCTCCTCCCATCTGTAGCACTACCCACCTCCTCCCATCTGTAGCACTACCCTCCTCCTCCCATCTGTAACACTACCACCCCCTCCCATCTGTAACACTACCACCCCCTCCCATCTCTAAAACTACCCACCTCCTCCCATCTGTAACACTTCCCACCTCCTCCCATCTGTAACACTTCCCAACTCCTCCCATCTGTAACACTACCCACCTCCTCCCATCTGTAACACTACCCACCTCCTCCCATCTGTAACACTACCCACCCCCTCCCATCTGTAACACTACCCACCTCCTCCCATCTGTAACACTACCCACCTCCTCCCATATGTAACACTACCCACCTCCTCCCATCTCTAACACTACCACCTCCTCCCATCTGTAACACTACCCTCCTCCTCCCATCTGTAACACTAACACCTCCTCCCATCTGTAACACTACCACCCCATCCCATCTCTAACACTACCACCCCCTCCCATCTCTAAAACTACCAACCTCCTCCCATCTGTAACACTACCCACATCCTCCCATCTGTAACACTACCCACCTCCTCCCATCTGTAACACTACCACCCCCTCCCATCTGTAACACTACCCACCTCCTCCCATCTGTAACACTACCCACCTCCTCCCATCTCTAACACTACCCACCTCCTCCCATCTCTAACACCACCCACCTCTTCCCATCTCTAACACTACCCACCTCCTCCCATCTGTAACACCACCCACCTTCTCCCATCTGTAACACTACCACCCCCTCCCATCTGTAACACTTCCCTCCTCCTCCCATGTCTACCACTACCCACCTCCTCCCATCTGTAGCACTACCCACCTCCTCCCATCTCTAACACTACCACCTCCTCCCATCTGTAACACTACCAACCCCCTCTCATCTGTACCACTACCCACCTCCTCCCATCTGTAACACTACCCACCTCCTCCCATCTCTAACACTACCACCTCCTCCCATCTGTAACACTACCCATCTCCTCTCATCTGTAACACTACCCTCCTCCTCCCATCTGTACCACTACCCACCTCCTCCCATCTGTAACACAACACACACCCTCCAACCTCTAACACTACCCACCTCCTCCCATCTGTAAGACCACCCACTTAATTCTTCTAGAATTACCCCTCCCACTTCCTCCTGTATTTGTAGACCCGTGAAGATCCTAGGTAGAATAGGTCTTCAGCAACCCATGCTTACCGTAACAGGCGACCATGCTTGTCGTAAAAGGCGACTAACCGGACCGGGTGGTCAGGCTCGCTGACTTGGTTGATGCATGTCATCGATCCCAATTGTGTAGATCGATGCTCATGATATTAATTACTGGATTGTCTGGTCCAGACTCGATTATTTACAGACCGCCGTCATATAGCTGGAATATTGCTGAGTGCGGCGTTAAACAACAACCCAACCAAACCAAACCTATAATTGTAAAGTTATAGTAAAGTCAAGTCCTGTGATCAATATGTTCTCATATCATGCAGCCAAGCTGATGCTGTCGGATGACCCAAAAATAAAGATCGGCTTGAACTTGGCGTACGGAGTTTTCGTCATGTGCGGGTATCCAGAGATGACCAGGCACCAACTTGTCTATGGGAAGCAGAACCTTACGGACGATTCCAAATACACGTTAGTTCACGTAAAAAAGACGGGTGAAGATAACGTCTACAATTTCAAGTTTAAAATCTTCAACTTAACAGAGAGTGGCCTTGGTAAATACACTTTTTTAATCGACAATGGAGCTGGGGAGACTGCCGTCGACATCGAACTATCAGCTGATACAGGTGAGTTGTTCCATCATTGCCACATGGGATAAATTCACGTTCAACAGAAGGTGTAGTTTCGCCTTATATTGAGTGAGTGAGTGAGTGAGTTCGGTTTAACGCCGCTTTTAACAGTATTCCAGTTATATCACGGCGTGTCAGCTTAATGTGGGAGGAAAGCCCGAAGTGATGCAGGTCTTAGACGGTTACCACTTCGATGAAACCCACGAGCACGGGTATGGGGCTGACAAACCTAGAAACATGATCGGGGCGAACCGGGATTCGATCCCACAATCATAGGTTTCTGGCGTGCCCAAGGGACGCAACTCTGCACAGCGAATCGCGGCGCCTTAGACGACTGGGCCACCCGTGCCCCCGTGTCTAGATAGAACGTGGGAGTCTATATAATTTACTTATGTATATTCTCTCCGAAAGAACACACCAAGTGTGTATTTCGTTTAAGATTTAAACACATTCCTAAACAGCCCGAAGTGATGCAGGTCTTAGACGTTTACCATTTCGGTTAAACCCACGAGCACGAGCACGGTGCTGACAAACCTAGAAACATAATCGGGGCGAACCGGGATTCGAACCCACCATCGTAGGGGTTTTGGTTTTGGATAGCATTTTGTAATGTTTGTTTTGTTTGTTTGTTTGTTGTTTAACGCTGTACTCAGCAATATTCCAGCTATATGACGCCGGTCTGTAAATAATCGAGTGTGGACCAGAAAATCCAGTGATTGACATCATGAGCATCGATCCACGCGATTAGGATACGATGACATGCATCGACCAAGTCAGCGAGCCTGACCACCCGATCCCGTTAGTCGCCTCTCACGACAAACATTGTCGCCTTTTACGGCAAGCATGGGTTGCTGAAGACCTATTCTACCCCGGATCTTTTTGTAATCGTTTTGAAATGAGTTTACACATTCACGTTTTAACGAAATTGAGACAAACGAAATAACGAAGTAATAGCTTCAGCAGTCATACAATTTGGCACTGACTCTGTGAACGTTCATGCTCATTCATACGTTAACAGTGAATGTCAATTTTTATCTGAATAGTTCTTATAGCCGTGGTGAGTTTACTTAAATCAGACACTCGTTATCGTGATTTGAGGTGAGGTCAGGTGAAAAGGGGTTTAACGTCGCGTCCAAGGTTATTGCACTTATATAGCGACGTGCATGTACGTGTGTGTGTTTGTGTGGCTGCTTGTACTAGTCCGGACTGATGCCGATTTATAGTGCTAGCTCACTGAGATACTATGCCGCAGTTTAACATGAATACCCACTCAGACACAGTATACTGACTCCGTGCCGACCAGTCCTTGTTTTAGCCCCTTAATGCCGAGCGCCAGACAGGGTAACAACAAGTACCATCTTTTAACGTCTTATGGTATGACGCGGCCGGGGATCGAACCCCGGACCTTCCGCTCTCCGGGCGGACGTTCTACCACTAGACCACGGAGGCGGTCTACCGTGATTTGAGACCTCTGTCAGAGTTCCTATCATTCCTAATAATAACAACAGAATTGATCTATTTCTCACATAAAAGACCTAAATATGAAATATGTGTACCTCCAAACTGCTTTTTTGTAAAGATTCGTGAATATAAACACCACGAAAACAACGCCTCTAATGCTATCCTGACCTTTCAATTATAGTTGAGGATGACTTCATCATCCCCGTCGCCACAGCAACCGCAGTCTTGCTTGTTGTCCTTGTCGCAGTGGCCGTCATCTTTGTTCGACTGTACAAGAAGCTGACAGGTAGGAGTATTTGAGTGAGTGAGTGAGTGAGTGAGTGAGTGTGTGAGTGAGTTAATGAGGAACATCGCCTCTGTATTCGGTTATAGCACCATGTGTCGGTTTAATGTAGGAGTGAGTGAGTGAGTATGGTCTTACGCCGCTTTTTAGCAATATTCCAGCAATATTCCAGCAATATCCCGGGGGGGGACACCAGAATTGGGCTTAACACATTGTACCCATGACGGAAATCGAACCCGGGTCTTCGGTGTGACGAGCGAAAGTTTTAACAGCTAGGCTACCCGACCGCCCCAGTTTAATGTAGGAAGAAATCCAGAAGGGAAAAAGCCTTAGACGAGTCTGGGTATGTTGCTGAAAAACCTTGAAACACAATCAGAGCGAACTGGGATTGGAACCGACGCTCTTAGCGAATTGCGACGCCATTTACGAGGGGCGTTCACACACACCCTCCAATCTGTAACACTACCCACCTCTTCCCATCTGTAACACAACTCACCTCCTCCCATCTGTAACACTACCCACCTCTTCCCATCTGTAACACTACCCACCTCCTCCCATCTGTAACACAACTCACCTCCTCCCATCTGTAACACTACCCACCTCTTCCCATCTGTAACACTTCCCACCTCCTCTCATCTGTAACACTTCCCACCTCCTCCCATCTGTAACACTACCCACCTCCTCCCATCTGTAACACTACCCACGTCCTCCCATCTGTAACACTACCACCCCCTCCCATCTCTAACACAACCCAGCTCCTCCCATCTGTAACACTACCACCCCCTTCCATCTCTAACACTTTTATTTTTCAATATGGTCTCCATACACCTCAAAGCCTTCAAGCTTTTAATACCAATTTTATAGAAATCCGCAGATTGGCCCTCTAACCATGCCTCTGTGGCAGCCTTTATGTCCTCGTCATCCTGGAAGCGTCTTCCACGTAGGGCAGATTTCATTTGCCGGAACAGGAAATAGTCTCTGGGGGCTACGTCTGGGCTGTAGGGTGGGTGATTTAACTGTACAGCCCAGACCTAGCACCCAGGATGACGAGGACATAAAGGCTGCCACAGTGGCGTGGTTAGAGGTCCAATCTCCGGATTTCTATAAAAGTGGTATTAAAAGCTTGAAGGACAAATGGAATAAGTGTTTTGAGATGAACGGAGATTATATTGAAAAATAAAAGTGCAAAAGATATTCTGCGACTTGATCATATATTGAAGTTGCAAAACTTATTGAGCACCCCTCGTAGATGACTGAGTCACCCGTGTGCAAATTATCGCAAATTATTATATCGTAATCGAGGGGAACTTCGTTCTTGAAAGACTAATTATCTTTTGCCATTCCTTCATCCTAAATCTCAAACACCAATAGATGCGCCCCTTTTTAGACAAAATGTAGCATAGATATTTTTCTTATGTTTAATGTTTACTTGACATGGAATCCAAAATACAAATAGAATTAATGGTATGTATATTTATTTTGCAGGTTTCAAAGAGAAAGAGTGAGTGTTTTTTTATATACACCCGAAATATTGAATTTTGGATACCGGAACAGAAAAAGACCCCACTACCCCATGTTTGTCTCCCTGTTGGGATACAAGGGGGTAGAGGTAACCTAATTTGCCCTGGTATCCCCACATGGAGACAAACATTGGGTAGAGGGGACCTATTCTGCCCTGGTATCCTCACAGGGAGACAAACATGGGGTAGAGGGGACCTATTCTGCCCTGGTATCCTAACAGGGAGACAAACATTGGGTAGAGGGGACCTAGTCTGCCCTGGTATCCTAACAGGGAGACACACATGGGGTAGAGGGGACCTATTCTACCCTGGTAATCCCACAGGGACACAAACATGGGGTAGAGGGGACCTATTCTCCACTGATATCCTAACAGGGAGACAAACATGGGGCAGAGGGGACCTATTCTACCCTGGTATCCCCACAGAGAGACGAACATGACGCAGAGGGGACCTATTCTGCCCTGGTATCCCCACAGGGAGACAAACATTGGGTAGAGGGGACCTTTTCTACCCTGGTATCCTAACAGGGAGACAAACATGGGGTAGAGGGAACCTATTCTACCCTGGTATCCCCACAGGGAGACAAACATAGGGTAGAGGCCAGGGGACCTATTCTGCCCTGGTATCCTAATAGGGAGACCAACATGGGGTAGAGGGGACCTATTCTGCCCTGGTATCTTAACAGGGAGACCAACATCGGGTAGAGGGGACCTATTCTGCCCTGGTATCCCCACAGGGTGACAAACATTGGGTAGAGGGGACCTTTTCTACCCTGGTATCCCCACAGGGAGACCAACATGGGGTAGAGGGGACCTATTCTGCCCTGGTATCTTAACAGGGAGACCAACATCGGGTAGAGGGGACCTATTCTGCCCTGGTATCCCCACAGGGTGACAAACATTGGGTAGAGGGGACCTATTCTACCCTGGTATCCCCACAGGGAGACAAACATAGGGTAGAGGCCAGGGGACCTATTCTGCCCTGGTATCCTAATAGGGAGACCAACATGGGGTAGAGGGGACCTATTGTGCCCTGGTATCCCCACAGGGAGACAACCATGGGGTAGAGGGGACCTATTCTACCCTGGTATCCCCACAGGGAGACAAACATAGGGTAGAGGCCAGGGGACCTATTCTGCCCTGGTATCCTAATAGGGAGACCAACATAGGGTAGAGGGGACCTATTCTGCCCTGTTAACCCCACAGGGAGACACACATGGGGTAGAGGAACCTATTCTGCCCTGGTATCCCCACAGGGAGACAAACATGGGGTAGAGGGGACCTATTCTGCCCTGGTATCTTAACAGGGAGACCAACATGGGGTAGAGGGGACCTATTCTGCCCTGGTATCCCCACAGGGTGACAAACATTGGGTAGAGGAGACCTATTCTGCCCTGGTATCTTAACAGGGAGACACACATGGGGTAGAGGGGACCTATACTGCCCTGGTATCCTAACAGAGAAACAAACATGGGGTAGAGGGGACCTATTCTGCCCTGTTACCCCCACAGGGAGACACACATGGGGTAGAGGAACCTATTCTACCCTGGTATCCCCACAGGGAGACAAACATGGGGTAGAGGAACCTATTCTGCCCTGGTATCCTAACAGAGAAACAAACATGGGATAGAGGGGACTTTTTCTAACCTGGAATCCTAACAGAGAACCAAACATGTGGCAGAGGGGACCTATTCTGCCCTGGTACCCCCACAGGGAGACAAACATGAGGTAGAGGGGACCTATTCTGCCCTGGTAGCCCCACAGGGCGACAAACATTGGGTAGAGGGGACCTATTCTACCCTGATATCCCCAAAGGGAGACACACATGGGGTAGAGGAACCTATTCTGCCCTGCTATCCCCACAGGGAGACAAACATGGGGCAGAGGGGACCTATTCTGCCCTGGTATCCTAACAGAGAAACAAACATGGGGTAGATAGGACTTTTTCTACCCTGGTATCCTAACAGAGAAACAAACATGTGGTAGAGGGGACCTATTCTGCCATGGTATCCTCACAGGGAGACAAACATGGGATGGAGGGGACCTATTGTGCCCTGGTATCCTAACAGGGAGACAACCATGGGGTAGAGGGGACCTATTCTACCCTGGTATCCCCACAGGGAGAGAAACATAGGGTAGAGGCCAGGGGACCTATTCTGCCCTGGTATCCTAATAGGGAGACCAACATGGGGTAGAGGGGACCTATTCCGCCCTGGTATCCCCACAGGGAGACAAACATGGGGTAGAGGGGACCTATTCTACCCTGGTATCCCCACAGGGAGACAAACATAGGGTAGAGGCCAAGGGACCTATTCTGCCCTGGTATTCTAATAGGGAGACCAACATGGGATAGAGGGGACCTATTCTGCCCTGGTATCTTAACAGGGAGACCAACATGGGGTAGAGGCCAAGGGACCTATTTTGCCCTGGTATCCCCACAGGGTGACAAACATTGGGTAGAGGGGACCTATTCTCCCCTGGTATCTTAACAGGGAGACCAACATGGGGTAGAGGGGACCTATTCTACCCTGGTATCCTCACAGGGAGACAAACATTGGGTAGAGGGGACCTATACTGCCCTGGTATCCTAACAGAGAAAAAAACATGGGGTAGAGGGGACCTATTCTGCCCTGTTACCCCCACAGGGAGACACACATGGGGTAGAGGAACCTATTCTACCCTGGTATCCCCACAGGGAGACAAACATGGGGCAGAGGGGACCTATTCTGCCCTGGTATCCTAACAGAGAAACAAACATGGGATAGAGGGGACTTTTTCTACCCTGGAATCCTAACAGAGAAACAAACATGTGGCAGAGGGGACCTATTCTGCCCTGGTACACCCACAGGGAGACAAACATGAGGTAGAGGGGACCTATTCTACCCTGGTATCCCCGATGGGTGACAAACTTGGGGTAGAGGGGACCTATTCTACCCTGGTATCCTAACAGAGCAACAAATATGGGGTAGAGGGGACCTATTCTGCCCTGGTAGCCCCACTGGGAGACAAACATGGGGTAGAGGGGACCTATTCTGCCCTGCTATCTTAACAGGGAGACCAACATGGGGTAGAGGGGACCTATTCTACCCTGGTACCCCCACAGGGCGACAAACATGGGGTAGAGGGGACCTATTCTACCCTGGTATCCCCACAGGGAGACAAACATGTGATAGAGGGGACCTATTCTGCCCTGGTATCCCCACAGGGAGACAAACATAGGGTAGAGGGGACCTATTCTACCATGGTATCCTAACAGGGAGACAAACATGTGATAGAGGGGACCTATTATACCCTGGTATCCCCACAGGGAGACAAACATGGGGTAGAGGGGACCTATTCTGCCCTGGTATCCCCACTGGGTGACAAACATGGGGTAGAAGGGACCTATTCTACCCTGGTATCCCCACTGGGAGACAAACATGGGGTAGAGGGGACCTATTCTACCCTGGTATCCCCACTGGGTGACAAACATGGGGTAGAGGGGACCTATTCTACCCTGATATCCTAACAGAGCAACAAATATGGGGTAGAGGGGACCTATTCTGCCCTGGTAGCCCCACTGGGAGACAAACATGGGGTAGAGGGGACGTATTCTACCCTGGTATCCCCACTGGGAGACAAACATGGGGCAGAGGGGACCTATTCTGCCCTGGTATCCTCACAGGGAGACATACATGGGGTAGAGGGGACCTATACTGCCCAGGTATCCTAACAGAGAAACAAACATGGGGTAGAGGAACCTATTCTGCCCTGGTATCCCCACAGGGAGACAAACATGGGGCAGAGGGGACCTATTCTGCCCTGGTATCTTAACAGGGAGACCAACATGGGGTAGAGGGGACCTATTCTACCCTGGTATCCTCACAGGGAGACAAACATGGGGTAGAGGGGACCTATACTGCCCTGGTATCCTAACAGAGAAACAAACATGGGGTAGAGGGGAATATTCTGCCCTGTTACCCCCATAGGGAGACACACATGGGGTAGAGGAACCTATTCTGCCCTGGTATCCCCACAGGGAGACAAACATGGGGCAGAGGGGCCCTATTCTGCCCTGGTATCCTAACAGAGAAACAAACATGTGGTAGAGGGGACCTATTCTGCCCTGGTATCCTCACAGGGAGACAAACATGGGATGGAGGGGACCTATTGTGCCCTGGTATCCTAACAGGGAGACAACCATGGGGTAGAGGGGACCTATTCTACCCTGGTATCCCCACAGGGAGACAAACATAGGGTAGAGGCCAGGGGACCTATTCTGCCCTGGTATCCTAATAGGAAGACCAACATGGGGTAGAGGGGACCTATTCCGCCCTGGTATCCCCACAGGGAGACAAACATGGGGTAGAGGGGACCTATTCTACCCTGGTATCCCCACAGGGAGACAAACATAGGGTAGAGGCCAAGGGACCTATTCTGCCCTTGTATCCTAATAGGGAGACAGACATGGGATAGAGGGGACCTATTCTGCCCTGGTATCTTAACAGGGAGACCAACATGGGGTAGAGGGGACCTATTCTGCCCTGGTATCCCCACAGGGTGACAAACATAGGGTAGAGGGGACCTATTTTGCCCTGGTATCTTAACAGGGAGACCAACATGGGGTAGAGGGGACCTATTCTACCCTGGTATCCTCACAGGGAGACAAACATGGGGTAGAGGGGACCTATTCTGCCCTGGTATCCCCACTGGGAGACAACCATGTGGTAGAGGGGACCTATTCTACCCTGGTATCTTAACAGGGAGACCAACATGGGGTAGAGGGGACCTATTCTACCCTGGTATCCTCACAGGGAGACAAACATGGGGTAGAGGGGACCTATACTGCCCTGGTATCCTAACAGAGAAACAAACATGGGGTAGAGGGGAATATTCTGCCCTGTTACCCCCATAGGGAGACACACATGGGGTAGAGGAACCTATTCTGCCCTGGTATCCCCACAGGGAGACAAACATGGGGCAGAGGGGCCCTATTCTGCCCT